GACCACAGCTCAACGTTAAAGGAGAAGGAGAAGGAAAGATTGTTCCATGATGAGGCCACCTGAGCATCAGTCTCATTACCTGCCGTCCCCCCGGCCCCTCCTCCTCCTCCTCCTCCTCCTCCTCCTCACCGTTGAGTTTTGATTCACCAGCGCCTCCGTCACCTGCGCCTGCCCTGTCGCGCGCCCGAGCGAGACGCCCCCGAAGTCAGTGAGGGGCAGGAGGAGGCTGGCGCTCCCGACGCTCGTGCGGGCCTGCCAGGCGTCAGAGGCGAGCGGAGGGGTCAGCTGAGGGGTCAGCTGAGGGAGGAACTGACCGAGATCTGAGGGAAGCTCTGACCCGCGGCGACGGAGTCTCGGTTGCGGAGGTAGAAGGAGAAGCTGATCGGAGCTCCGAAGGGACACGCGACGCCCGTCGGACAGTCGCCCGGAAGCCACGGGGAGACCAAGATGAGGGAAGCAAGCTCTCTGCTCCAGTTGCCGTAGCCTCTGCAGGACGCCTGCTGGACGTTGGGGCCGGAGAGGGGGAGGAGGCCGGTAGGAGTGGTGTAGCCCGTGAGTCCTGTGATGGTGATGGAGGCGAAGAGGGAGGGGAAGGAGAGGATGGGGCAGGAGGAGGCGATGGAGACGGTGATGAGGTTGTTGGCTGACAGCACGCTGCTCTCCTCCTTGATCGCGAGCGTTCGGTACCCGCAGCTCGTCTGCGAGGGCGACAACACCTGACCCACCAGCTCCGCGTCCGTCAGTCGCACGGGGTCGCCACCGCCGCTGGCCGGGCAGCTCACGGAGAGGAGGACGGGGGCGGAGGAAAGGAGGGAGGGAGGGTTGACCAGCGTGAAGGCGAACTGAAGGAGCCGGCGAGCAGGGAAGGTCTTGGTGGGATCGGTCTGGAGAAACAAGACGGCGCTGCTGGAGTCGTAGGTCAAGGAGCCGACGGCGTTGGGGAACACGAGCGATCCTCCTCCTCCCATGACCTGCCGGCCGAACAAGTTCCCCCCATCCTGGTACACGTCAGGCTGCCAGACGCGCATCTGCTGCTCGTAGGAGGAGGTGGCGCCGGAGGAGCAGGAGGCGTTGGGGAGGAGGAGGTTGAAGTCGTTGACGGCTGTGATGCCGAGGATCGAAGACCCTCCGACGGTCTTGCCGTTGAGGCGCGAGAGCGTCAGGTTGGTGGCGGGAGGGAGCGCGAAGTTGAAGGAGAGCTGGACGAGCAGCACGTTGAGAGCTGAGACAGCTCGGGAAGAATCGCGGATCGATCCCTCCAGCATCGCCGGAGGATCCTGTCCTGTCAGAATCGTCTGCGAGAAATTTCCTGCTGCAGTCATGAGTTGGGCTGCCTGCTGGCTGTCGGCGAGGTAGGAGCAGCGCTGCTGCTGCGCGGGGTCGCAGGTGTTGACGAGCGCGTTGAGGACGATGCTCTGCCTGCTCGTCGTGTTGGCCTGTCGGTTGCCGTTGCTGAAGGAGCACGTGAAGTCAAACTTGACGCCTGCGGTGATGGAGGAGGAGACGGCGAAGGAGAGGACGCCCAGCTGCTCGTCGAAGAAGATGCTGCCCTGAGAGACGTTGGGGTGAAGAGCCCCCGAGGAGGAGAAGAGGCGAGCAGGTCCAGGAGGGAGGCGGAGGCCTGTCAAGCCGGTGATGGTGACGTTGGCAGAAGGGAAGGAGGAGACGGAGAGGGCGAAGGAGAAGGAGAGATTGTTGCCTTGATAGGGAACCCGGTTGCTCTCCTGCACGGAGAGGAAGGTGAAGCGGAAGTTGTCGCTCGAGGGCTCCAGGAGGGACTGCCGGAAGCTGAAGGGGCTGGTGCGCCAGGCCTGGTAGTTCACGTTGTTGCAGGAGCACGAGAGGGGCAGGCAGAGTGAGCAGCTGGCCGCTCCCACCGTCACCGTCACGAAGGTCGAGGACGAGAAGTTCGAGCCCAGCAGGTCGCCGACTCGCAGTAGCAGCGCAAACTTGGAGTGAGCTTGGATGTCACAACCCGCCTGCAGCCTCCAGCTGCTGGTCGAGGAGACGGTGAGCTGGGGGAGGAGGCAAGTCTGGGAGGTCTGCTGACTCCCGTCCGCCTTCTGGTACCGCAGGAACATCGTCCTCTCCTCCTTCCTCCCCGGCAGGTTCGTCACCTCAAGCGTCGCTCCCTCCTGCACGTCCACGTTGACGCTTAGCTCGAGAAAGATCCAACCCGCCGACTCCCGCGAGGGCTGCCATACCGTCAGCAATGACGAGGCCCAGCTTGCCGCCTCTCCCGCCCCAGCACGTCCCCAGCTACGGGAGAAGCCGGCTTGAGCAGCACAGTGGCTGGGTTGTAGGAGACGCGGAGAGAGAGCTGGAAGAGCGACGGGCAGGAGCTGGGGGGGAGCTGGGAGCAGGCCTGCCGGCTGATGCTCATGACGTTGTTGACCTTGAAGACAAGGCTCAGCTTGGTCCCAGCTGGGATGAGCGAGTCGTTGCGGGCATAGAAGGTGAAGGAGGAGGAGGAGGGCAGCCAGTCGTAGAGCAGCGACGTCTTGTCTGCGCAGCCAAAGGACTGCAGGAAGCTGCCGCTCGTCTCCTGCGCGCAGAGGAGCTGGAAGCCGCTGAGCTGGGAAGGAAGGCCCGTGAGGAGGAAGGCAGACCTCGCCGCGATGGCCTGCGGGACGGTGATGGAGAGGACGAGCGAGTTGACGGCTGAGTTGACCCGGACGGTCTCAGTGACGGAGGCCGAGAGGAGGATGCTGGGGTCCAGCAGGGAGTAGGTAGCTGGAGTCAAGCAGGGCTCGTCCGCGCACTTGGCGAGGAGGGTGACGGGGGGCTGGTTGGAGGACCTCTTGGAGGAGCAGACGGCGTCGTTGCATGCGCAGCTGGGGCAGGTGACGGCGAGGCTGAGGGACTGGGAGGGGAAGGGAAGCGATGGGTTGGTGAGGTTGAACTCGATGACGTGCTCGTCCTCCGGTCGCATCCTGTGGGAAGGATGAAGGCGCAGCAGCAGCGTGTCGAGTCGGTTGCTCGCGATGCGATGGTGCAGGAAGGGCTGGGCCGAGGAGTTGACCGAGGAGCTGCCTGCGAAGAGGTAGGAGCCGTTGCCTGCGAGGGGGATCGCTGCGCAGATGCCGTCGTTGTCGAAGCAGCTGGTGAGGGAGACGTTGAGGGAGAAGTTGTAGGGGGGGAGGCCGGAGATGACGATGGTGGTGTTGGGGAGGAGGGAGGAGTTGCCGCGGAAGAAGAGGCGGACGAGGTTGAGGTCCAGGGGCATGAGCGACTGGAAGGAAACCTGGCGGATCACAAACTGCGAGACAGTCTCCGTGCTGGCGAGAAGACCTGAGGAGAGGTACGACTGCTGGTAGTCCAGGGCCCAGCTGACCTCCTTGAACGCCCTCGACGCTGCTCCCGTCGTCAGGCTGGCGTCAGCGGTAATGTAGTCGCATGAACTGAGCACGTCCGGGCCAAGGATCAAGATCTCCGGCTGGGGGAGGGAGGCAGGGAGGGAGACGTTGACGGCTGTGATCGGAACTCCTCCCACCACCTGCCCGACATTTGTGGTGGCGGGGAGGGAGGCGAGGCGGACGCCCTCCAGCTCGCTCTCGAAGGTGATGTTGGACTTGCTGCTGAGCAGGACGGTGGAGGAAGCGTTTACCAGCGGGTTGCTGCCGACGATGATCTGGAGGACAGAGGCGTTGAGCCAGGTGCAGGTGGGGGAGTCGCCGAGGGAGGAGGCGAAGGCAGAGGCGAAGACGTCGAGGCAGTCGAACTGCTTGGAGGGGTCGGGGATCTGATTCAAGTTGGTCGGGCGGTCGAAGGTGACGAGGATGGTGCCCATGGACTGCTGGGAGAAGAAGGCGAGGGAGATGCGAGGGCTCTGCAGAAGGTTCTCGATGGGAGGCGACAGGTAGGACCACTCGAGGATCGTCCGCGTCCTCGGGTTGACCACGAACGTGAAGAACTTGAGCTGGTACCGCAGGGAGGCCGAGGTGAAGGTCACACCGCTGAAGGTCGACACCCCAGCTACGAGCGAGCTGGAGCAGGGGAAGCTGCCGCTGATGAGGGTCAGGTTGTCGTCGTTGCAGTGGACGGAGGGGGAGGAGGCGAGCGAGACCCTCGCGCCTGCTGGGCCCGCCACCAGGATCATGCAAACCTTCCCTACGCAGTTGGAGGAGACGCCGACAGGGTAGGGGACAAGGGGCCCGAGGCCGCAGTCCGACCCGAAGCAGGTGGAGCAGGAGGGCTGGACGTTGCCGTAGGCGTCGACGCAGGAGATCTTGCCGGGGTCGAGGCAGGGGGAGAAGGAGGAGCAGCGGTCAGGGAGGGAGATGTTGCAGAGACCGATGGTCTGCCCCGGGTCGACGTCGAAGAGGTCGGAGGTGGTGGAGATGTTGGGGTTTGAGGAGAGGGAGAAGCTGAACTGGAAGGACGTCATGGCTCGACGGACCGCGAGGTCGGTGAAGGAGGAGGTCCCGTTGAGCACGCGCACGTTGAACGTCCCGTCGAAGTAGGAGAGCAGCGGGTAGCACCGCAGCTTCCCCACCTTCCCCTCCTTCAGTTCCACCCGCACGTGCAGTTCTCCTTCCCTCAATTCTGACGCCTCGTTCCCGAACCGATCGCGGACGCTGACCTGCGGCTGCTGGAGGAGAGGCTTGTCGGCGAAGTTGAGCTTGGAGGGCTGGCGGGCGACCAGGACGAAGGATGGCTCGCTGTTGACCACCGTGAAGACTCGGCTGGTGGTGTTGAAGCCGAGGGGCAGGCCGGAGGAGGAGACGGCGGAGAAGAAGAGGGAGTACCGGGAACTGCTCTGATCGATGCGGAGGTTGGTGAACGCCGCATAGCTGGCGGAGGCGAGCAGGGAGTGGTCGGGGCAGGTGGAGCAGGAGGTGGGAAACTCTCCGACACATCGCTCCTGGCAGCCGTCCGCTTGTATCCCCACCCTCGTCTGCGTCTGCCCGTCCACGAGGAGGGACACGTTGACCTTGATTCCTGCTGGGAGCTGGCTGGGCAGCACGAGGTTCTTGTTCAGGTCGGTCAGCAGCACGCGAGGCTGCACGGCGAGCGGCAGCCCAGCGACGGAGGTGACGGGCTGAGAGGAGGGGAGGATGAAGAGCTGCGACCAGCTGCCCGGCAGGACCTTGAAGGGGCTGCCGTCAGTCACGATGGAGTTGCGGAAGAGGAAGCGGAGGACGTAGCCCTCCTGCTGCAACCCCTGCCCCACTGACGCCTTGAGCAGCATCAGGTCCGTGAAGATCGCCTGCCCTGCGCTGGCCTTGACTGTGGTGGTCCCGAGGAGAGGAGAGTTGTTCGGGTCCTGCGGCTGCAGCAGCGCGGGGTTTTGGAGGAGGACTACGCTGACCTCGGCCTGAGACAGGGACACCTGCTGTTGCGACGAGTCGCGCAGGATCACCCGCGGCTGCGCCTTGAGCAGGGAGCCGCTCGTCTGGTTGCCCGTCGGAAACTCTGCGAGCTGGAGGAGGGAGACCTGCTTGATCACGTCGAAGGAGGAGGAGGTGACGGGGGTGACGGAGGTGAAGCCCTCGTAGGAGAAGAGGAGAGAGTAGCCCGAGCCGTCCTTGTCCAGGCTGAGGTCCGTGAAGATAGCGCTTCCTCCTGCCGCCTTTACGCGCGAGGTTCCCGAGAGGAAGGCGCCGGACGGGTTGTCCTGAATCCTCACAGACACGTATGAGGAAGCGTTCTCGACGTTTCTTAGGAAGCAGTCCATGACCTGCACTATCACCGGATTCCTGAAAGTCTCAGTGGCGACGCTCGTCTGCGGCTGCCCGGATGTCGGGAGGAGCAGACTGCTGGCCCCGTGAGCGACAACGACGGAGCCCGTGCTCGTGAACGTCCTGCTCCCGTCCGCCAGCATCACCCTCACCTCCACTGTGAAGGTCGACGAGCTCGCGGTCCACATGCCGCAGCTGGGGTTCTGCACGGCCACGCGCAGATCCGGGAAGCGAGCGACTCCCTTCTCCGACGTGACGTTGCTGGACCCGAGCAGCAGTGCCTGCGGAGAGCTTGGGAGGAGAGAGACGAGGACGGTAGGAGAGCAGCGGAGACTCTCGGCCTCGCACGTTCCTGACTCAGTCGCGCAGCCCTCATGGCAGTCGCTGGACGCGACGTTGCCCCACTGGTCGAGGAGGACGACAGTGAGAGGGGAGGGGAAGATCTCGTTCTCAGCTGCGAAGACTGGAGCGACGGACATCCTTGAGGGGGGGCCGCTGACGAGCAAGAAAGAGTTGGAGAGGGTAGAGACTTCGATGGTCTTGCCGCTCACGAAGTCGGTGGAAGGAGCAACGACGATGAACCTGTTGGAGGGAGCGGCCCGGGTGAAGACAATGTCCGTGAAGGAGGCAACGCCTCGTGAAGCCTGTCGGATGAACGCCTTGCCCAGTGACACGTTCCCCATGCTCGTCACGAGCTCCGTCAGCGCCACCTGGCTGGAAGGCACGCCGCTGCAGAAGACAGAGGAGTCGCTGCAGGACGAGATGATGTTGCCGTAGAAGTCCCTCAGCTTCACCGACACGTTGACCGGCGTGTTCACCACGAAAGTCCCGACCGGACATCTGGAGCAGGAGGGGGAGCGAGAGGCAGAGGGCTGGTAGAGGAAGGAGAGAGAGACCAGCTTGCCTGGGGAGATGTAGATGGGGTTGGTCAAGACAGAGATCTGCTCGAAGAAGCTGTCGACACTGATACGGAATGCAAGACGAAAGTCGGAGCGCGAGATGTAAGTACCTGTGTAGACAATCTCAGCTTCTACTCCTTCCCTCCCTTCCCCTCCCTTCCTCCTTCTCTCTCCTCTCACCGAGATCCGTGAAGGTCGCTGCCCCTGTCGTCGTCGAATACTTGGCCGCCACGTTGCCTGTCAGCCCCACCTGCCCCAGCGCGATCCCCTCAGCGATGTAGACGGGGGCTCCGAGGCAAGAGGAGTCCGAGCAGTTGCAGATGGGGACGGGAGGAGGGTCGGCCAGCGCGTCGGTGTAGTCGAGGCAGGGAATGGCGACGAAGACCGAGGAGGCGTAGGATCCAGTGACGAATATCGGGTTGAGCTGATTGTCACTGAAGGAGCCCGAAGGCTGCTGGGGAAACAGAGCGCTCTCAAATCCCGTCGTGTTCCCGATCTTCGCTACCGTCGGCTGGTTCAGGAGGACGATGCGATCGATGACTCCCGGGACGATCTGAAGGCTCCCCGTCGGGGCGAGCCTGATGACAGAGGACTGGCCGAGGAAGTAGAGGGTGGAGCTGAAGGCGAGGGAGTATGTGCCAGCCTTGTTGATCACCAAGTCCGTGAAAGAGACAACTCCTGCGTTTGGGACCCGACAGAAGAGGCAGGCGGCCGACGAGCAGTCGCAGCAAACGTTCGTGTAGCTCTTCAAGGCCTCGCAGTTAGCCTGCCTGCAGCACGAGCTCTCGGTGAGGGGGAGGGTCGGCTGGAGAGGAGGGAACGGGCTCGGGGAGGAGCTGGCCGTCAGCTGGAGGTAGACGGCAATGTAGGCGTCTTGGACAATCACTTCGTTGTCGTTAATCAGGTCCACGGCAGGGGAGGGGTTCATCGGCACCCCAGCCTGTACTGCTCCCCAGCTGTTGGGGATGTTTGCTGAGTACCTGAATCTTCCCACAGGAGCCTGCAGAAGCTTTCAGCGTCTACCAGCTGGTCGAGGAGCTGGGCTCTTACCGACACGGCGAAGTTAGAGTTAGGTTCTTTCGGAAAAGTTAAGATGATGGCTGAGCCAGAGATCTGGAACGTGAGCTTGAACGTCGAGCCCGCAGTGGGCAGCATAAGGTCAGTGAAGACAGCGAGCCCGCCCGTCGCCTGCACCCCCGTCAGCAGGACGCGAGTCTCTTCAGCTGCTCGACCTGTACGATGGACTTGCCGTAGAGCTCTCCCGAGTTGATCATCACCTGGACCTGGCTGCTGCTGTCTCGCACTTCCCTTACCATAGACGAGTTGAGGAGCTCGAGGATCGGCTGATCGCGGAAGGGCTGACGAGCGACAAGCCGGCCAGGTGTGACCACGTAGTTCAAGGCCGTGACGGAGACTTGTTGAGGGAGAGAGGGAGGGAGAGCGAGTAGAAGCAGGCTGAGAGCAACAAGAGTCGAAGAAGGCCTGACGCCATATGAAGACTTGTAAAAGTAGGACTGGAGCAAAGGGAAACTCGGTAGAACCATCGCTGTTCTCTCACTCATGCCTTGTTACGATCAATCATGGCTGGCAGCCGCCGTGCACCACGCTTTGACAAGACAAGTTGATTTCACCCCAAGATCCTGAAAGTACGCCTTCACACCCAGCTCGTGTGCCTGTGTGTCTGAATGCTCCTCATCTTCTCATCTCCTGTGTATCACCGTGTTTTCTCTATCCCTGCAACAGAGTTAATCTCAACAACACCGCAGATGGCATATCCTCTTCTTCACATTCTTGTGTTTCAAATCCATTCAACCTCCTCAGACTAATCCAAACCCTTCGTCGTCTTGGTGCAGGATCCATGCTCTCTGCTCTCTATGTGTTCTTCCATCCTCTCCGTATATCCTTCCTTCCGACGCACATCAGTCTATTGTTAGTCATTTTGCCTTCACCATCGCATGCACTTGTTCGAGCTATCTCTCGTCTTTAGTGCTTTCCTCCTCCCTCTCCTGCTTTTCATCTTCCTCTCTCTCTTCCTCTCTTCCTCTCTCTCTTCCTCTCTTCCTCTCTCTCTTCCTCTTCCTCTCTTCCTCTCTCTCTTCCTCTCTCTCTTCCTCTTCCTCTTCCTCTCTTCCTCTCTCTCTTCCTCTTCCTCTCTTGCTGTTCGCAGCTTCTGCTGCTAAGTGTTGTCCATGATCATATGCTGCTAAGTGTTGTCCATGATCATATTGATTGTATACCCCCACCCCCATCTTTGGATCTCTGTTACCCCTACCCCACGATGCATTACCCCTACCACCCTAAATTTAAACAGTGTTCATATCCAAATGACCCCTACTTTTCAAACCTTACCCCCTTCAATATCACCCCCACCCCCTGACACGACAATATAACCCTTCGACTTGACCGACTCTAGTTGACTCAATCCGTTACAGCCGTTTCACAGTGGGCCCGGACTCCTGAGTTGGAGGCGCTCAGGCCGGGCTACTCAGTGACAAGACCGGACTGACGGTCGCCCCGGCCGGGCCGGGCCGGTGCCCCAACTGGCCGGCTCAGTCACAGCCCGTAAACTTTGAACTTGCGGCCGGCCCGGCGGTCTGGCCCAGGCTCATAACCTATCTTGTGAAGCGGGAGTTTATGATCGGGTGGTTTAGTTTCATTCCTCTTTGAACCCTGAGAAGACGTTGAAGTAGAAGTTGAGACCCTCTATGCTGTCGTCTCTGCAGATCGTCCCCCTCCTCTCCTCCTCCTTCCCTCCCCCGTCAGCGCTGCGGGCACACCAGGAGCTCAAGTACCTTGAGCAGCTCTCGCGCAGCAGCCACAGACATGCCCAGCTCCTTGGCTGCCTGCGCGGCGTTGACTCCTCTCCCGCTCTCCTTGAGCATCTGGACGACGGCGTCGTTCTGCACGGACATGAGCGGGAGAAGGGGAGAGCAGAGCAGGGGAGGGGATTGGAGCGGAGAGCAGAAGAGGGACGGGAAGTGAGGTGAGGTGAGGTGAGGGGGGGGGGGGAAGGGGAAGGGAGGGGAGGGAACCTCGTTCTGGACTCCATCATCTTTTCTTTTGATCACCACAACGCCACTTCGGAACTGATGTAGCCTGAGGGAGAATCAGTCACTGAGATCTACAGGGGAGGAGGAGGAGACCGAAGTTTGATTCCCTTGGGCTCAAACAGCTCGCAAGCCTGCGTCAGGACTTCAGCAGGGGCAATCCGTCTCGAGGAGCTCGTTACCTTTCTCAGATCCGCTGGCGATATCA